CCATCCAAAAGGGCCTCACCTATAATATTTGAAAATGTTAGGAGTAACGGCTGCAACAAATCAAATGTTTGGAAAAAATCTGCTAGTATTTCAAAGTTTTGGACTTTTGCTGCAATTATCTCTTTAATTTCTGTTGGATTTTGTTCCTCGTTTCAATCAATTTGCCGTCTACATTTCATTACTCATGCATAGCAAAGAAATGATTTGTCCATAGCAATCTCTCGAAGTTTGGATAGACCGGCAAAATCAAAGCATGAAGCTCGAAACTCGAAGAACAAAAAGAAAAGAGGTCATGAAAATCGAAAAATAAAATGTTACGCTCATGTTTGGTGTCCATTATTTTAAAAAAAAAATTGTTATCTGATTATTTTCAATCACACATTCATAAAATAAAATATTCTACATATAAATCTAATTTTTTTTTTTTTTTTACCTTTTACTCGCACATTCTCTTAAAAATACCATTCAAAAATTTAAAAAAAAAAAATAATGGGCACCAAACATGGCGCACTTGTGAGTACCATTATTGCCTTGGTTTTGGTAATACTTTTTGTGACTTTGACATGTGTAGTAATTATTTACCGGGTTAATGAAATGTGACTTAGCTTAATGTGTGACATCACATGTTTTTGAAAGATGGTACGTCACTTGCATTGCGATTTTGGCAAATTCTGAAGAAAATGTAACTATTTAATTACAAAAATAACCATGAAAGTCACGTTTTAATAGCACTACATTTTTTGTGACTTGCGATTTGATTTAAATTTTAATGAGTTCCATCCGAACATGTCACAACAGGTCAATAGTCAATCTAAAATAATTATTATTTTCAAGAATTTGTGGCCCCTTGATGTTGTTTATTTTCAAAATAATTGTGATTAATTATTATTATTATTATTGAAATCGTTCAAATTGTGGCCAATTCCAAAATATTTCGATGTTGACCTGATTTTTTTATTTTCAATTATGTAACATTGTACTTATCATTTTTTTTTCCTTTTTACTGTTAAACTTAATTCTAGTTTTGCCCTTTCGATTATGAGTTGACTCCAAGTTAGACTGAGACGAAGAAGGTTTGAAGGGTGGAGTCATGGTTAGGTTCAATAATTTACTCAATGTCGTTGCTTGATGGCAAAATTTTCAACTTCGATAATCTTGATGGTATATCGAATAATGTTTTGGAGTTTTTTATAATCGATTTAAATTATAAATACATTGAAAAAAAAAGTAGTGATTAAATGAATAATTCTTGTCGGACTCACGAAAATTCTGAATAAAAAGCAATGTTTTAAAATCAAGAAACGGGACCAAAACTTGTCCGGTTACGCTTATAAAATTTCAACTAAAAATTCGCCCCAAAACCCGTTAAGCCGGCCGAATTTTGGAAAACACGTGACCCGTTGCCTAATTTAATCGGTTCAACCTATATAAATGTATATTTTTTAAAAA